GGAGGGCCAGCGGTACAGGGAGACCGGCATGCGCACAGGAGTTACCCTGTGCGGATGCACAGTCGAGCCCCGTTCCCCGACAGAAGAGACCAGGGAAGGACCAGCGTTCCACGGGGGTCTGTTCTGCCGGGGGTCTGGCGATAGAGGGGGAAGGGAGTGGCGTAGTCCGGGGACGACACACGCTGCCTTCCGCACCCTCAGAGACAGAGAGGAATGGGTGGGCTGATGCACGGGAACGTCGAGGGCACTCATTCCTGTCTGTGTGCTCAATGATAGTGTCAGCTTTTCCTCAACCAGCTCAAGGAGCTAGCTAGAACAAAAAAGATTCTCTACCGGCCCTCCACCGGGGGAAGGAGGGGCCCTGCTACCGCCTCCTGAGAAAAACCATGACACTATCACTGAGCGGCCCACCTCAGGAACATCGCATCGCCTGGCGTCAGCGAGGCACACGGTCTGAGGGGGCTGAGACGCTTACCTGTGGCCTCCTCCGCGACGCGAACCGGCTGAAGGCTGCTGCTGGGGCCGCGTGGGAGGGAAGGGAGCCGCAGGGGGGCGTCCTCGGCGGCGAGCGGGTGGAGGTGTCTGAGCCGACGGCTGGTTGGAGGCAGCAGCTGGCCGTCGGGGCAGAGAAACCGCCTTCGTCCGCTCCTAGGCGGTCGAGAAGTGCTGGGCAAAGTCCTGGACCGCACCGCCGAGCATTTGGATGATACTCCTGGACCACAGCGGTGGGCATCACCTGACCAAGGGAGCGAGCGACCGCTTCCCTGACCCGTTTTAAGGGCAAGGTATGCGGCAGGCTCACAGCTCGCTTGGTCCGACCTCTCCTCGTGCACATTCCTGAGCAGCTAGCAGGTGCTCATCATATGCAGGGCGGAGGCTGCCTGTCCCGCCGCTCTACAGAATCGCGCCGCCATAGACGACGAGAACCCATAGGCTTTGGGGGGGGGCATCTGAGAGCAACCGCGGGTGGACGTGCCCTGCGGACGCAGCTGCATCGCAACAGAGCGTTCCACCGGGGGAGCCCCAGCGTACCCACAGACAGCCGCATCGCCGAGGGGAGGAAGGGCGGGGAACTGAAGCACGCTCTTTTTTCCTTTTTAGTATATATATATATATATATATATATATATATATTTTTTTTTTAAGTGCGTGTCAGTTCCGCATGCAACTCGGGGAAAAAAGGAAATTGGGGTTGGCCGTGGCCGTAAGGCGGCAGCGTCACCCAAAAACCAATTATCCAGCCGCGAGAGATCGGGATGGGGGGGGTTCCACCCCCACCCGATGCTCACGGAGGCCCGAGATACCATGGCCATCATCGCGGGATCAGACACGGCGACGCTGACGCTCCCGAGGGATGCAACGCGGCCGCATCGTCACTTCCCGAGGAGTCAAGCCCGCCTTGTGATGCTGCGATCGTCATCGCATCATTCTCTGGAGCGCTGAACGAAACAGACGGTACCTCAGAGAGGCAGACGTCTGAAGCGATACAGCGCTCACTGGCTCTAACACTGGAGCGGTGGGTGTGACCCGAGGAACTAGCGTCGGAGGGAGTGTCACACATTCACCGTCATATCACCCTATCCGCGAGTCGAAGAGCTTCTATTTTAAGAAGCAGAACGAGTAACGGACACGGGGACTCTCACTATCAGATCATTGAGTCTCGATCACAGTGTAGAGATGCTCATGTTCCCATTCAGAAGGAACATGAGTCATCCGCGAACGCTGCTACTACATGCTGAAGCCCAGGCACACACAGAGCAGCGATCGCGACCATCAGAAAATGACATGAAACGAACGCACCCAGAAGAACACGGGCGAGTCGTCTTTAAAAAGACGTGCCGCGTGCAGCTCTTTCACTTAGAGAGGAGGAAATTCACTCTTTCAGCGCTGAGGCGACCAGGGAGAAGCGCAGAGTCTGGCAGACCACTGCTCAGATCGCAGGCAATGCAGAGTCTCGCTGGGTACCGCCATCACACCAACACTGAAGAGGACGCTCGTCTCGAAGAGTCTTGAATCAGTGAGAATGGCTTGAGGAGTGAATAATTCTCTTGGCTCCGAAGCGAAAACATACTGCGGTTGCGTTCACTTCCTCCTTTTATACTCACGGAGTAGGGCGGAGTACGCTATGCAAATTTCCGCAGCTCCAAGGCATTGCATGCCATTTGCTCGTTGTTAAATACTCGAAGAGGATTGGCTTTCATGCGAAATCCCCCGATCTCCGTCACTTCTGACGTAACTCGAAGTGACTACGAAAGGGAACAATACATTGATTGAAATTTTGTAAGAAACGTTTTGTTTGGAAAGGCAATATACATGGGGGCGTAATTGATCATGAATAATGATGTGGTTCACACCTGAGAAGACAATGACCTGCATAATGAGCCTTTCATTCAGGTGTTGAGACCACAAGAAAGAATGTGAGGACTTATTTTGTATGCATGCAGTTTGTACAATATCCAAGGTAAACATTTCTAGTAACTATGCAGTTCATTCTCATACGATCACCAGCTGGAGTGCCCTGAGAGACACCAGAGGGCATTCCATATCAGACTGACCAACTCTCAAAACTACATTTCCCATCATACACCTCCCTGGACTGATTACACCATACACCTGCACTGTACTGATTGCACACACACACACCTGCACCTCATTTACACACACATAAAAGCCACTTCCACACACTACTTCCCTGCAAAGTATTGCATTGGCACGGCCTGTAATCACTGAGCGGTTTCCCTATCTGGCTGATCTGTTTGCTGACCCTGGTTTGTGATCTTCTGCCTGTTACCTGACTACTCTCTGTGCTCACTCTTTGATATACCGGTTTTGCGGTTTCCTGGCCCCTGCCTGTTTGACGATTCTAATAAAAGCTGCAAATGGATCATACTGGGTCTCCCCATTCGTAACAAGAAGGCTTATATCTTGTAAATATTTTTTTTTGCTATTTTATTCAAATGTTTTCACATGTAAGTCAACAACAATTACATTTTAACAATATTTTGAGTGTAATCTTTTTTTAAAGTATACATTTTATCATACGCTTTTCAAAGTTAAGGAATCAATAGTTTGAATATAGCCTACACTGGAACAAAACACTATAATAACATTTTAGTTGATGGAGTTTATTTTTGACAAAATATTTTTGCTCCTCGAAATGAAACTAAACCAGCACTTCTGACATAAATTTTTACATAAAGTCAGAACATTATGGTTACCAAAGTGCCATTCATTGCAATTTTTGGAGTGAGTCGTGTTCCGTATACACATGAAAAGATTATTTGGGGAACGATTATTTACAATAATTTACACACATGGAAAGATAATTTGGGGGGGGGGGGGTTGACTTCGATTTCACTTTTTTCATTTTAAATAGTGTGTAATGTTGTTGTTGGTGCATGAACAGTATCTGCAAAGTTGCAGCGCTGAAAGTTCAGTGCAAGCAGAGACATCGTCTTTTTAAAATCAGGAAGTATAATGCCTACAAAAATGACTCGATTGGGACTACAGCGGGTTTTAGACGTCACTAACCCATAGATTTGCATCAACCCTCCCTCCGGAATATGCAAAAAAGGGCATGGCCATATTTCTGCTCTCGTCGAATGTGTTGTGTTCACCCAGCTGTCAGGTCTTCTGTGTTCGTGCTTCCCACGGATGCTGTACTTTGTCAACAATGGATACAATTTATGTTTGATTATGTTCCTGAAAATGACGATCGTAATTTAGCTCTCTGTGCTGCGCATTTTACGGAAGACAGCTTCCAGAATCTCCACAAGTTCAATGCCAGATTCAGGAAGAAACTGTTACTAAAACATGAAGCAGTTCCAACTTTAAAACAAGAGGCAGCAGTTGTTGGGCCACAACCTGTAAGTAGGCTAAGACTTAATCATTTTAAATGTATTTGCATGTATAATTTCAGATGTAATGTTTTAGTTTTGTCAAATGCCAGCGCTGGCTTTATATCCACTTATAAATCATGCTATTTTGTGTCTACGACAAACGCGTACAAACATTTTGGTCCTGAATTTGTATATGTACTCATTTTATAAATGTATTTTTCATGTATATATACTTTATCATCACTTGTGATGTAAGAACAGGTTTGTTATGTGTGGGTGATGAAAGGAGACACAGGGTCGGCGAATACTGGGACTCGTGCACTTTTATTTACACAACTCTTTTCATTTACACAGCGCTAAAATAAAGTTAACTCAGAATGTCAAAGGCAAAAATAAATAATAGGTGATAATACTCTTCCCACTGAACACAGCTTTGCCGAACACGGTTGCAGTGAAAACTCTTCCCGCTAAATACAGCTTTCAAATGTCATGCGTTCGGCAACAGGACTCCATAGGATACGTGCACGAGCTGCCAGTCTCTGTCTCTCAAACTGTTGTCCGCACGGCCCGCTTATATGCGCTCTCCTCACGCCAATCACTGAAATCACAGACAGGTGTTTGTCATTTGAACTTGACCCACTTATTGACCGCTCGGCTCCGTCCGTCCCAGCTCTCCCACAGTCCCACTACAGACTTCGCTGAACCACGCCCCCCTCGCCACAGGCGTTAGGTATCCGGACAACGTGAGCGACAGTTTAGCCAATCACAACACACCGGCCCAAACTAACCAATCTGAGCCCACTGCCTGTTTCTGGGGGAGTGGTTTCATAGAATCAGGAAGTCAACCGCTCGTTATATGACGAGCTGGCAATAAAGGTGAAATTTATGAAAAATAAAACTTTTTAAAAAAGAAAAACCACAAATACATGTTATATTGCACCCCATAAACACAATCATGCAAAGAAAAAAAGCAGTCAACCCCCCCCCCTTTAAATGCAGCCAATCCTGAAACTTTACAGTGTTTATGTGGCCTTACATCCACACAAAACATTAAAATACATATATTTTGTAAAGAGAATATCTAAAACAAATCACACCTTTCATTATGGTTGACTTATTATTATTTTTATTTATTTTTTCGTCTGTTGACACACCACTTACCTCAATATCTCCAATGTACACTTTATATTCTTCAGTCCAGTGCAGAGCAGCTTCACTCCTGAATCCTGCAGATTATTATTGTTCATGTTCAGCTCTTTCAGATTGGTATCTGATCCAAGAACTGTAGCCAGAGCTGAACAGCTTTTGTCTGTTAAGTCACAATCATTTAACCTACAATATAAATAAATCACATAAAATAATTGGATGGAATGTATAGAATGCATTCTCTGTATAAAAATATTAAATATTTTACATTAACCAGTCACTCCAGTTTTCCGCGATTCTGCGATCGCTGAATACAAAGCAAAAATCAACAAAATGTCGCATTTTTTGCGATTCTGCATAATTCCTAAAAACGGCAAAATAATTACAAAAATGAAAAATACCTCACAAAACATTACATTATAATCATCCAATTAAAATATCTCTGGTTTAGTTAAAGTTTAAATGTATTTTTAAGTGGATACAAATATTGCGCAAGCATGATGTCTGGGAGCGGTCTGTCAGAAAAATGGCGAAAGAAAATGTCTCACCTGCCCTCTCATATAAGCGCCAAGGTTTTCATTCGGCAGTAGGCAAGGGCAAACTTATTAACACGTTTAACATGATTGATTGACATAAAAAGTATGATATGCTCAATGGTACTAAAAAGAAATATTAAAAGCACAGTATACTGTGAAAGAGAACTAATTTCAGCCGGTCGAGTGACAGTCTGTCTCTGACTGCAGTGTGTGTGTGTGACTGACTGACTGCGTGTCACCGCCTGTCAGCGTTAGAATATTGAATTCTCTTTATAGCGCTTGAACAAATACACATAGCTACAATTACTTCAAAATATTAATCTTGGCAAGTATTTACGTAAAACTATCAGTAATAACTGATTGGGACGTTTGTCATTACTGTAGTAGGTCTTAAAGTGACAGTAACCTAATTTACCTGCTGTTGTCAGTGTTGTTAATGTTAATCAAGCAACAACAATACAGCACAACTAAAAAAAAGAACAATAAAAATAAAAATAAACAAGATTTTTGCATTTTGTATCTGACATACTATTCTGGTAAATATAATGTAATAATAATAAAATATGAAAAATCGCACATTTTTTCACAAATTTCTGGAAATTACCACCACAAAATCAGTCCGCATTCTGATCGCAAAAATAGAAAAAGGAAACACAAAAAAAAAACGTAAATCCTGGAGGGACTGATTAACAGTAAATATACAGTGAGGAGGGTGAGCTACACTGACATTACAGGTTAACTAGTATTTTCCATATCTTAGTATTTTTTAAATATTTACTAGATAAAACAAACATAAATAGTGTGCTTCATCCTTCACTATCGTTCACAAGTTCATGTTTTGCTGAAAATATGTGGTATATGATTAAGAATCACTATAGAGCCGTGTAGATAAAGGAGATGAGACCAAAACATGACTAATTACATTAAATTACTTACAGAGCTCTTCTGGCGGTTTTGATGACTGTTAATAATCGAATGAGACACTCGTCTGATTTCTTGAATTTCTGAAGCTCAAACTCCTCCAGCTCCTCCTCTGATGTCAACAACACAAAGGCTAAAGCAGACCACTGGGCAGGTGAAAGGTCAGCAGATGAGAGACTTCCTTTGCTAAGGTGGGTCTGAATCTCGTTCACCAGAGTTTGGTCGTTCAGTTCATTCAGACAGTAGAACAGATTGATGGATCTCTCTGCAGGAAGATTATCTTCTAATTTCTGCTTGATGTACTGAACTATCTCCTTGTTGCTCTGGTCAGTGTCGTCTCGCTGTGTCAACCAACCTCCTAAGAGTCGTTGAACTATCCCCTTGTTGCTCTTGTCAGTGTCGTCTCTCTGTGTCAACAGACCTCGTAAGAGTCGTCGATTGGACTGGAGTGACAGACCGAGGAGGAAGCGAAGGAAAAGGTCCAGGTGTCCATTGTCACTCTCCAGCGCCTTGTCCACTGCAGTCTTGAGAAAATCCATCATGGTTTCTTTTCTGTTTTCCTGTTCTGTAGACTCATGATCAAACACACTTGTCTTGTTGATGTCTAGAAACAGATGTGCATAAAGGGCTGCAATAAACTCTTGAATGCTCAAGTGAACAAAGCAGTACATGGTACCAAGAACGATCCCCGTTTCCTCCTTAAAGATCTGGGTACACATGCCTGAGTACACTGATGCCTTATAGACGTCAAGACCACAGGCTTCCAGGTCTGATTCATAGAAGATCAGGTTGTTTTCTTCCAGCTGATGAAATGCCAGTTTCCCCAGTGAAAGGATGGCGTCTTTATCCCAGGAAACATCTGGTGTGTATTCTCCATCATATTTCCGGCGGCTCTGCTGGATCTGAAAGCGGAGAAAGTGTGTGTACATTTGTGTCAGAGTCTTGGGAGTGTCTTCAGTGTTTGATTCCTGCAGTGTTTTAGAGATCTCATCAGCCTGAGTGTTTCTCACATCATTATTTCTCTTCTCCTCCAGAATGTTCTGGAGAACAGTGGCTGAAATCCAGCAGAAGACTGGGATGTGGCACATGATAAAGAGACTCTTTGATTGTTTAACATGATCTATGATTTCATTGGCCATTTTCTCATCTTTGAATCTTTTTCTGAAGTACTCTTGCTTTTGTGCGTCGCTGAATCCTCGTATCTCTGTCAGCCGGTCGATACAGTCAGGAGGAATCTTACTGGCAGCTGCTGGTCTGCTGGTGATCCAGACGAGAGCAGAAGGAAGCAGATTTCCCTTCATGAGGTTCGTTAGGAGAACATCCAGAGAGGCTGGTGACGATACATCACGCCACGTCTCATTACAATCAAACTTCAGAGGAAGGCGACATTCGTCCAGTCCATCAAGGATGAACAGCACTTTGAACTGATTCCTTCTTGTAAGGTTCAGTCCTTTTGTCTCTGGGAAAAACTGAGTTATAAGGTCCATCAAACTTAGTTTTTCTTTCTCCTTTAAGTTCATCTCTCTGAATGGAAGAGGAAATATGAAGCTGATATCTTGATTTTCTTTTCCTTCAGCCCAGTCCAGAACAAACTTTTGCACAGAGACTGATTTCCCGATGCCAGCGACTCCTTTTGTCAGTACAGTTCGGATCTCCTCGTCTTGTTCATGCGCTTCAAACAAATGTGTGCATTCAACCTGTATCTCTTGAGCTTCATGACGTCTGGAAGCAACTTCAATCTGTCTGACCTCATGTTCAGTATTGACCTGTTCACTGCCACCCTGAGTGATGTAGAGATCTGTGTAGATGTTATTCAGGAGTGTGGAGTCACCTTGCTTTGCAATTCCTTCAAACACACATTGATACTTCTTCTTTAGGCCACATTTCAGCTGATGAATGAAGAACAGCTCATCTAAACACAGGAACAGAAAATAGATAGTTTTAGTCTTCATTTTCTCTCCTACATTTATAAGAGACAATCAGACAGATGATCACGAGTCTCTTGCCTTCTAGAGCATCAGCAGCTTCATCTTGCTTCATCTCTCTCAGGTAATGTAGTGTGAGATCAAGAGCTGCTTCTTTAATACGGCATCTGTTCTCATTAAAGTCCTCCACTAAGGATTGTGTGTTCTCTTTCTGTAATATTTTCTGAAACTTTTCCAGCTCATTTTTCAGTAAGGTGATTATTTTCCTCTCAAGGTCCTACAAAGCAAAAATAAATAATTAAAATTAATTAAAACCGTACATCTATATTTATAAAACAAATAAAATAAAAGTAAAAACTCAAACATTTTAATTAGCTGTAATTATTAATAAATAAAAATAAACTGTTTTCACATTTCATTCTTATTTTATGGGTTCTTAAAATGAAAGTAAACGGTCAAAAATAATTAGAAATTACATTTCTAGTGAATACTTTTTCAGGAAAACATGATAAATAATCTATTATTTTTTATAATTATTAAATATTTATAAAATGTAAAGCATTTTTTTACCTGGAAGATCCACAGGAGATTATCTGTGAAATTCTTGTGTTTCCTGTGAGTCTGGAAATCTGAATCTAATGTTTCATATTTAAGCCTGTTAGAAAAAAAAAAATACTGCATTCCCGGGAAATATATTACCAAAATCTCTAGTAAATAATTTTAGCTACATATACTCTAGTAAATATTTGAAATATACAGCTTTATGTTAATTATTCATTGATGCACTTTCTAACACAGTCTGTGACCAAAAATAAGAAACATATGAAATACCCTTTGGTTGGTGATGGTGTTTTCTCACTGAAGTTTGGATGGTCACAATCCTTTGACCAGTCACTCTTCACAGACACAGAGCTGGACACATGTGAGCCTGATCTTTTACTAATAACAAATAGAGATAAGAAAAAAATTAATTACAGAAGTTCATCTGTGTCTGATAACGGCACAAACTCTCTAGTCCTTCACAGATTGAATGTTATAAAGCATTTGCACAATCATTACTGAAAACTTTTTGTAGAATTTTTTTGCATTGATTTTAATTTTAAAAATCAATGTACATTTAGCCTATAACACAACTTTAGTACTGCAGTGTAACACTTCTGCTGAATGAGAGGCAGAAAATATTGATTTAGACTGTAAATATTAATTTTCCTTTTCAGATTTAAGATGTTTATCATCTACCAGCCACAAAATAATGATATTTTATGCTATTTTTTTAAATAAGAATTTCTGCAAAGCATTTGCAAATATACAGCAATGCTTAGTCCTTCACAGGAAGAATGTAAAACTTCAGTAGTTTAAAATGATTATGAAAACAGTCGCAGTCTTACCTCTGTTCCTCTGAGAGACTCGTCTTAGAGAGAGAGTCATTTCCTCGCTTCTCTGACATACTGCAGCTAAACTAACATTGGAAACAGATCAGCACTGGTTTCAGTTTGACCTGGAGATGGCAATATATGTTCCTGAGATTAATAACATGGCATAAAATAGCATAGTCAAGAAAATAATGAAGAATGTGAAGTTAGCAGCAACAGCAAACACAATAACATAAATTGAGTCATGGCTCTAAATGTACTAGTGAATAGACATTAACACTGTGTTCAAATCATTGAGTGGGAAAATAAACCCAGTTTCTTACATTCTCTGTAGCCGTTTAGTATCATTTTTCAATCATATTTAATCATATCATGTAAAATCTGCCCCATGTAAAATTAAGACCGGAATCCCTCAGGGAACCATACTGGGGCCTTTTCTCTTCAGCCTGTATGTGAATGAGCTGCCTGAAGTGTGTCCTGAAGTTGGTCTTCAGATGTATGCGGATGACACTGTGGTTTATGTTTCTGGCAAAAGCCCTGCTGTTATCGGCAGTACACTGACCAAAAGTCTTGAGAAAGTGTCTAATTGGTTAAACAAATCATGTTTAACACTTAACCTGAGGAAAACTAAGTCTATGTGTTTTTCGATAAGAGCTCGGACAATAAATGAACTTAACATTAAAGTGAACGGCAAACTAATCGACCAGGTGGAACAAGAAAAATATTTAGGAGTGATTTTAGATTCTCAGCTAAATTTAAAAGTCATATCAAAAACATCTCAAGAAAAATGAAGGCCAGTATGAACTGTTTCAGAATGATCAGGATCTGTCTAACACTGGAATGTGCTCATGTATTTCTGAACACTATGATTCTGTCCCACCTGTCGTACTGCACCACCGTTTGGTCGCAGACCAGACAAACTACCCTAAAGCCGGTACAGAGGCTTTATAACCGTGCCTTAAACATTTTAGATGAAAAGCCCATTTGATTCCATCACTGCTATATTTTAAGTAAATATAAAATCTTAAATTTTATTAATTTCAGACATATTCATTTGTTTAGTAAATGTTTAACTGGACTTGCACCTGAGCCACTCTGTAAATTTGTGAACAGGCTCGAACCCTCCAGATCAACAAGAGCTGCTCCACATGGAGACTGTAAAGTTCCATTTTTTAAAACTTCTTTTGCCCAAAATGTTTTTTCTGTGAAAGGAGCCAATCTGTGGAACTTTCTTCCAACAAATATAAAGACCTTAACTAAACTGTCCACCATCAAAAAACTAACAAAAGCCTGGTTCATACAGCAGCAGCAGTGTGATCATGCCATATGAAATTGTATATTGTTGTGTATGTGAAGTATGTATCTATGTGAGTTTGAGTGAATGTGTTTATTTACTCATTTTTATTGATGCTAACTGGTTTCTTGACATTTTATTGTATTCACTGTCATTTTTTTTATTTATTCCTTTGTTGTTGGTTTTTTTATTTTTTTATTATTGTTAAAAGCCCTTCTAGGGACAGGTGTTGCGAATTAGCCTTGGCTATAAACACTATGATACAGGCATCGGATTGTTCTTTATGTAATAATTTATGTTTTTTTGTATCTGTCCCTATTCAAATAAACAGTAAATAAATAAATAGAAATAAATGTTATATGAATTGCTTATTCTTTTGTCGCTTGATCTTTATTTTAAGTTAAGTAAGTCAAATGCTCCCTTCAATACATGTATCATTCATTCAGTCTTTTATTTAATATTGAAAGTAGAAAAATCAGAAAATGGCTCTTTTTTCACTTAAAAAAGAACAAGAATTCAGCTTGCTCAAGGGTAGAAAAATGCAATACACAATAGGACCACATGGAGATGCCAACTGACCACTATACCAGCTGCCTTAACCTTACAGCAAAATACAAATTAAATATTAAACATTTTGAAAATGGCGACCTGAAGGCGGCTCGAGATCATCAGTGAACAGTTCCTCTGTTACCCCCTTTTCCACCCAAAAAGAACTGGTTGGGAACTGGTGCTGGTTCAAAGTTGGTTCGGAGTTGGTTCAACTTGCGATCCCCTTCAGAACCTGTTTGTTTTTCCACTGACTAGAGTGCCCAGGGAACGACGTCGTTACGTCACTGTGTACGTTGCTAGAAACACTTGCAAGTACATTGCTTTGGGATTATCTCTAACTCGTGTACCAAGAAAACTTTAAAAACAATTGAAATATGTAAGTCTTTTAATCTTTTCGTTTGATATGTAATCTTTTCTGATAAGTTATGTACCCCTGTCTTTGTGTCTTTTTTCTTTCCATTTATTTGTTCTATATCGTGACTGTTTTCTTCTTTGCTTATGTTTCAAATAAAAAAATAAAAACGCTTGCGTGTTTCTGCAGTTTCTCCTGGCTTTGCGATGGTCAGAAAAGATGTTTTAACACATCTAAACCCGCCTCAGCCCCCGAAGTAAACATGACGTGCTAAAAGAACGGTTCTAGTCCAGCAAAGAGTTGGTGCCGCTTTGGAACCAGTTTTTCCGGCCGCGAACCGGTTCTTTGGCTGTCGAAACACAAAGAACTGGTTCGCGTGCAGGCTCCAACTCCGAACCGGCTCTCAAAATGCTTTGGTGGAAAAGGGGCTTGTCAGAGTCAGTGTTTGTGCCTGTGCTTGGAGTGATGTCTCAATGGGGAAATGTCTCCACATGGATAATAATATTATTAGCAATAAATGTTACCAGGAAATTGCCAGAACGTCTTCTGTGTGAACCATAGACAGAGAAATGGACACAGCGACCGTATAGACTTCAACAGAGAAAAGTGAAGCCCATTAGAAGCATCTCTTCCTGATGGCCGAGCGACTGCGCAGGTTCACACTGAGCTGGACGACGGAGATGTGAAGTGAGCGACCTGACTCACAGTTATACGTCTTCTAGTAGCTGGGTGCAAAGAGGGGTTCAAGATGGCGCCTTAGCAAGACGAAGTTTCCAGAGCTCCTGACCAAACTTTGCTGTTTAAGAAAGGCCAGCTGTATCTTATTACTTTTGCTATACCAGTTGTGTTAATACATCAAATTACGAGAACTGCAAACATGCCAAAGTTTGATAAACGCAAAGAGCGAATAGAGTCGGATGTTGTCGACGTTAGCATGGATGTCCACGATTACGCTTCTCCCGCTAGTAAAGAGCAAGTGGCAGATCCTTTTGCGACCCCGTTCCCTGTCACTCCCAGCAAGCCACCTGTCAATAAAAAAGGTAAACCTTCAAATCCAGATGAGCAAGCTGATTCTGCCGTCATTTCCACACTCTCCTCTTTGATCAATTCTCGGTCTGACGTGCTTGAAGGAATGATTAGCGCCAATGCTCTCAAGATAGAAGGGCTGAAGAAAACCGTAGATTTTGTTTGTGCCGAAGTTCAAGATTTAAAGAACAATGTGAAAGATGTAGACACCAGGCTCAAAGCTCAAGAACATCTCACGGATACTTGGGAAACGCGCATTTCTGATCTAGAGAGATACTCTCGCAGATGGAACTTGAGACTGTTTGGGGTGTCTGAAAATTACAAAGAAGATATCAGATCAGAGGTAATTCGAATTTGCGGCGAGACTTACCCCGAGGCCAAGAGTAAGTACCCTGATGCCGTTGATACTGTACATCGGCTGGGGAGAAGAAGTGACAACAAGAGACCTCGCGCCATCATCATTCAGTTTACTTCACGGGTTGTCCGCGATGCCTTATGGAGAGCTGCCAAGAAGTCCCAGTATCTCAAAGATAACGGCTTGCACTTTGCAGAGGATCTGACTTCAGCAGACCGGGAGAAACGGAAGACCTTGTGGCCGAGAGTAAAAGAGGCGCGGGATGCTGGTAAAACTGCCTATTATGTCGGAGCGCGCGCGTTTATTGAAGGTGTGGAGATTACTTCTTGAACTCTTTCAACTTCAAGTGAGTAAACGTTATGTATGATAACTGGACTTTGAAAAGGTGACTGTTAATTGTCACTTGGCATTTATGTTTTCGTCTTAAAACAGCTGGACCTGTCAATTTGGTCATGTTAAATGGTCACACGAGCTCTGTTCTTTTCAATTTTCTTCTCATTAGTCAATTTTGACTTTTTGCCTTTGTTTTGATTTTTGTTAATAACCATTCTCTGTTGTTCTATTCATGTCGATGTCGTTCATTTCTCTTAATGCCAGGGTTTAGAAACAGTTTAAGAAACAATGTAAAACGCAAAGCACTCTTTTTGTTTGTTAAAAATCACGGAAGAGATTTTTGTTTTTTTCAAGAAACCCATTCCACGCAGGATGATGCAAAATTTTGGAGGTCCCAGTGGGGCAGTGATATTTGGATGTCTCACGGTACAGAGCGATCAGCAGGTGTTGCTATTTTGAAAAACAAGTTTGCTGGCGAAATAGTTCACCTCGTCAGTGACCCCGAGGGTCATTTTCTTTTGTTAGTGGCTTTACTTGGCCAGACCACCACAGTTGTTATAAATATGTATGGTTATAATTCTTCTAAGGAAAATATCGCCTTAATGGATACGGTTAGTGATCACATACAGTACTGGATAGATAAATACCCGAATGCTGGTCTTATTTTGGGTGGGGATTTTAATATGGTATTAAATAGTGATTTAGATAGGTTCCCTTCAAGAGCGGCTTCTGTATGTCCAATTTTGAATACATTTATGATGCGGTTTAGTGTTGTTGATATATGGAGAGAATTAAATCCACAGCAGAGACTCTATACCTGGAGCAGCAAGGACCACTCTAAACAGTCTCGGATAGATTATTGGCTTATTTCTCAAAGTCTAGCAAGCAGTTGTAACTCAGCCAGCATTCATGCTACGCCTCTTACAGACCACAGTGCTGTCTCTCTTAAGGTTAGTCTTTCGGCATCACTTGGTTTCAGTACAGCTTCTTCTTATTGGAAATTGAATAACCCTCTTCTCCAGTTTAAAGATGTTAAAAAAATATTACATTATTGATTGAGCAGTATTGGAAAAGAGCTTTAGCCTTAGATTCATATTGTTGCCAGTGGGAGCTGTTGAAGTTTGAAATCGGCAAATTTTTCAGAAAATTTGGGAGTAATTTAGCTAAATCTAAACGTGCAGAAGAAAATAAGGTGGTGTCTTAAATTGCAACACTT